AAGCACAGAAAAGGAACAAAAAGGACATGTGGTACATCATGAAAAATTCCAATATTCAAAAGTACAGGAATGGATGAGAAAGAAGAACCCCAAGTCAATGGCATAGAACCAGAACTTCAACAAGGTCATAAAGAAAACTACGCCAAACTAAAGACACAAACACACACATACAGATATAAGAATCACAGGAAAACACCAAATAGACAAGACCAAAAAAGAAAATCCCCACAACATATTATATTTAAAACACTAACTATATAGAACAAAGAAAGTATAAGAGAGGAAAAAAATCAAAAACAAAACACAAGTGACATATAAAGGAAAACCCATCAGAATAACTGCTGATTTCTCAGTGGAAACTTGGGAAGCCAGAAGAGCCAGGAGCAATGCATTCCAAATTCTAAAAGACAATGTCAGCCATCCTACACTAATATCCAACTACTAACTATACTAATACCAATATTAACTACTTACTAATACTACCCAGAAAACCTATCTGCCATAATTGAAGGATGAACAAAATTTTTCATGACATAAAAATCCTTAAAAAAAATTATATCCAAGAAACTGAACTGAAGGAAAAGTACAGGAAGCATTATTTTGGGCTGACAAGATAGATGAACATAACAGAGAGACTTTGGAAAGAAATATGAAGCCATAACTATTAAAATCCCAAATACAACTGAAAACACAAAAATTCAGTAACATGATAACTACAACACACACTTCAATAATAACTTTAAATATCAAGTACTCAATTTTCAAAATAAAATACAAAGATTGACTGAATGGATCAAGAAGCAAAATCCATCTCTCTGCTGCCCACAATTAACACATGCTGGAGAAAAAGATAGCATGTGTAGAAGAATGAAATTAGACTGGGGTGGTGGTTTGAAAGAAAACGGTCCCTAAAGGGAGTGGCACTATTAGGAAGTAGCCTTGTTGGAGTAGGTGTGGCCTTGTTGGAGACAGTGTGTTACTCTGAGGTCGAGCTTTGAGGTCTCATATATGTTCAAGTCACATCCAATGTCTCAGATCACTTCCTGTTGCCTGCACAACATGCAGAACTCTCAGCTACTTCTCCAATACCATGTCTGCCTGCCTGCTGCTGTGTCCTGCTATGATAATGGACTGAACCTCTGAACTGTAAGCGAGCCATTCCAATTAAATGTTTTCTTTATAAGAGTCGCTGTGGTCACAGTGTCTCTTCACAGTAATAGAAACCCTAACTAAGACAACTAGTATCTATAACTTTATACAAAAATTAATTCCAACTGGATCAAAGGCCTAAATATGAAACCTAAAATGCTACAACTGCTAGAAGAAAACATAGCCAATGCCCTACATGATACAGGGGTAGTAAAGGGCTTCCTGAATAGGACTCCATTTGCCCAAGAACTAAGGCCAACAATTAACAAGTAGGACCTCATAAAACTAAACAGCTTCTGTGCAGTAAATGATACAATCAATTGGATGAAGAGAGAGGTCACAGAGTGGAAGAGAGTCTTTGACAGCACTATACATCTGACAGAGGGTTAGTATCAAGAATATACAAAGAACTTAAAAAAAATTACCCATAGAATATACAATGAACTTTTTAAAAATGACCCATGAAAACATAGGTCTGGGACCTGAAGAGAGGATTCTCAAAAGAAAAAAAAGAATGGCTAAGAAACATCTCAAAAAAATGTTCATATACCTAGCATTTAGAGAAATGTAAACCAAAACCATTTTGAGATTTGATCTTATCCCAGTCAGAATGGCAAAGATCAGTGCAACAACCAACAGCAAATGCTGGAGGGAATGCAGAGAAAAAGGGACTCACTCATTCATTATTGACAGGATTGCAAAATCAGGCAGCCACCATGGAAATCAGTGTGGAGAATTCTCCAAAAGCTAAAAATAAATCTACCATTACTCTGCTATACCACTCGTTGGCATGTGCCCAAAGGACATGGTATCTATTCCACAGGTAACAACTCAGCCATGTTCATTACTGATCTAATCTCAACAGAGAGAAAATAGAAACAACCAACAAATGGATAATGAAATCATGGCACATCTACACAATGAAATATTATTCAACTGTAATGAATAGTGAAATCATGAAATTGGAGGAAACAGATGGAACCAGAAAAGATCATATTGAATGAGGTAACCCAGACGTAGAAAAACCTTACATGTTCTCTCTTATTGGCTGTTCCTAGCTCCAAATATTCAGATGTGAGTAACATAGCCTATGGTAACTACAGAAACCAGGAAAGTAAACAGGACCATTGCCAGGATGGGGGGCTAGGAAGTAACAGAGAGGGGATTAATAGGATACAAATAATCTGATCAGGGAAATGGGAAAGGGGGGGCTCATTAAGGAAGGGGAAGAAGGTAAATACAGGAGAAAGAGGGAGGTAAAATAACAATATGGATGGCTGAAAAATCTACAAGGAATGCTATTAACTATTTACCTAAAATACTATAATCCAGTGTGTGTGTGTGTGTATAAAATGAACTTTTCTCATCAGCGGATCCTCTAACAAAAAAAATCCCACCACTAGACATGAGAAGCCCTATTTGGAGTTGCTGGCTAAGGCTGTCTAAGAAACGCCCAAAACATACAGCCTATTGCTGTTGCCTTTGGTTCCCTCCCAGAGGTAGAAGGTAAGTCCTGATTACTGAAGATACTATGCACTTCAGAAACAGTGCTCAGAGCTTCATGAGATGGAACTGACCTGAAAGCCTCCTCCTTGGGGACTAGCTTTTATGGCAACAGAAAGGCAGCATCAAGCTTCCAAAGGAGGGAGGCAACCTACAGTCCTACCCAGCAATGAAGTATATGAACCAGGATGGCATTAAAACCCTATGTGTGCAGTAGTATATTTCTACCTGAATTATGTGCATTATAACAATAATCTATAAACATCTGCCCTTATACCCACAGGTAAGTGTAGTCTTCACCCCTCATCAAGGAAATTTCTCTTTGCAATAGAGGGAGACCATTACAGTTTTAGAGGGTGGAGAGATGGCTCAAGGGTTTAAGAATGCTTATTTGCTCTTACAGAGAACCCAAGGTGGATTCCCAGCACCGGGGTAGAGTGGCTCACAACTGCCTATGACTCCAGCTCTCAGGAATCTGACTGCCTTTTCCGGCCTCTGAGGGAAACTGCACTCAAGCACACTTTGTCAAAGCCTGCCTGCCATCATGAAACCTGCCATGATGGCAAATGAATTCTAATCCTTGGAAAATAGAAGCCTCAAATAATTTTTTTTAGTTTCTTTTTTTTTTCTATTTTTATTTGCATTGATGTTTTGCCTGCATGTAGGTCTGTGTGAAGGTGTCAGTGTCGGGTCCCCTGGAATTGAAGTTACAGATAGTTGTGAGCTGCCACATGGGTGCTAGGAATTGAACCCAAGTCCTCTGGAAGAGCAGCCAGTGCTCTTAACCACTGAGCAATCCCTCCATCCCCCTCAAATAATAGTTTTTATGCTGTCTTGGTGTCATATCACAGCAACAGAAAAATTAAGACAAAGGGTTAAACAAGGTCCTAGCAACATTTAGGAACATTTAAATGCTGTGTCTTATTTGGCATCACTGACATTTGAAGAACAAACTTCTTTCATGTGTTTGCAGTTACTGATTATGTTTATAAATCTAACTTGATCTCCCTCTCCCTCCCTCCCACCTACCTTGTCTCGCTCTTTCCCAGTACTAGGGAATGAATTAGCCTTATGCATGACAGGCAGGAGCTCAATCCCTAACCCTGCTTTCTTTTGAGGTGGTCATTTTAAGAAAGACACACCAAGAAACTCTGAGGAAATTCATTACATTATCTTTATTTCACGTATTTTCACATCTGTAGGTTTGCTAAAATGCCTAATGACAGCATTAAAATATGCTGCCACTTGACCTGATTAGCACAAGCATTCTGGATTCTTTTCCTCGAGAGAAAATCCATTCTTAAAGCATGGCATAGCATATAAACAGCCAGACTTCACATGTCATTTCTGGGGCAAATACAAGACTCTCTGCAACCTTCCTTTTAAGTCTACATTCCAATTAGGTAACAAAAAAATACTCAAAGGATTAAAAACAAAGATATCCAGGATAAAGGGAGCAGGAGGTAAAGGTAAAAAGACAGGCACCCTATCCACAGGTAGCCTGAGGCCCTTTCACAAGTGATCCTAAGAACCATGAAGAGGTCACTGCAGACCAGAAACAATCCCTGGCCATGAGGCTCTAAAAGACCTCCTACAGAAGGTAAGCCCAATGTTTAACATCTGTAGCCAATCTCAAATCCAAGAATCTAAGAATTTCATAGGTAAAACTTTTTACTAATAAAGTTAATAATAAATATCCATCAAAAGCAATAAAGTTGTTTTTTTCACAGTAAAAACTAATCTCCCAAGCAAAAGAAAGCAAACATTAGAATTGCTGGTAAATTTTGGTCCAGGAATGATTATTTAGGCTCCTGGAGTTCAAACTATATTATGTATACTTAATTCGTTCTTTTTATATTTATGTTCTTATAGTAATAGATTCTATTATATTTATTATATAAGTATAATTATAGTATTATATTATTATACACTTATAATATAATATAACAGATTATATTAATCTGATCTGTTTATATTTCCCTCTTAAATGACTACCAAGAAAATGACAAATTAATACCTATTAATCTATTTTCATATAAGATCTCCTACTACACCTATTTTCCCAATAAGAATAAAAACAAAAATGGCCAGCTCATAGATCATGCAACATACCTCTTGGACAAGAACCCTCAAGTGGTTGTTTTTCCTATTCCCTAAATCCAAATTATAGAATCTCTGGTTCCAAAAGGACACAATTCAGTACTTCAGTCACATAAGATCCATACCACATCCTGGCTTTCCTCCCTTGGCATTTCTCTAACAAAATCACACAAGTTTTCCTAGTAAAACTGTTTCCCCTTAGGAGGCAGATGCACAGTTGACTGTTGGGCTCAGTTTGCTGTACTCACCAAGGAGGGAAGATGTAAATGATGTCCTGGGGATGCCCCCTCAGGTGGTCTGCAGTCTCTCTGGTAAAGAGAACCTTCAGGCAGGCCCCAAGTCTAGGAGCTATTCCCCTGGGAGGGCTGGCTGGTGGCCCTGCTAGCTGCTTACACACTGCAACTTGCATGGTGCATTCCTCATGTAGCTCTAGAATTTTCACAGTTAATACACCAGATTTTCTGCCTAGAAGTTGAAGACAGAAGGGGGGGACGACACACATTTAGAAGCGTTCTACACATTTTGTGAACAAAAATCTATACCTGCCTCAACTGCACCTGTCAGAAACTGTGTACCAGTGTCAGAAAAGGAAACTAATACAGGGATGTTCATGGACTTTGGGGTGTTTGGGGTATGGATTTAAAAGGGTAGAATTTGGCCGGCGGTGGTGGCGCACGCCTTTAATCCCAGCACTCGGGAGGCAGAGCCATGCGGATCTCTGTGAGTTCGAGGCCAGCCTAGTCTACAGAGTGAGTTCCAGGAAAGGCGCAAAGCTACACAGAGAAACCCTGTCTCAAAAAACCAAAAAGGGTAGAATTTGATCTGGATTCCAGCAGTGCCTTTCTTACAGAATTGGCCAAGTTACATAGATTTCAACTCCTCTATTTTCTCATCTATGAAACAGATCATGTCACTTGCTCCAGTGAACATCTGAGAGAATTAGAAGATAAACTAAGTCGAACCAATGCAATAACAGTTATGGACACATACACTGTACCAATGTAAAAGTGCAAAGAACTGGGAGTGTTAGCTCAATTATAGAATATTTGCCTAGCATGTGTGTGGTTCACCTCATAAGCTCAAGTGGCTGGAGTAGGGTGGGGCACACAAAATATTCTCAATAAAAGTCAAAGTCTTTGCAGAGTCCTCATGTTGGGTGTGGTAGATGTCATCTGTAATTCTAGCTATTTGGGAGACTAAAGCAATAGAATCCCGAGTTAAAAGCTGATCTGGGTAACAACAAAAAGGGAAGGGGAAGGAGGGGAGCTCAGCTGGAAGGAAGTGAAAACACAGTAGCGGGCACAAAAAAGACACAGTGGGTGATGTCTCTGAGGAGGGACAAAGAAGGCTGTGACTCAGAAGAAAGTGGGGGAATTTCAAATCTTTACAATTAAACACACATAAAGGCATAAAGGCAAAGATTAACATGTGTTATTAGCAATGAATACATTTTATCTTTTTCTATTACTGATTAATTTTTAAAATAAAAAATTAGTTAAGTGGGATAATGAAAATAGACCTGCAAATAACATTCAGTATTAGTCTCTCAACCACTGTAGATTAACAGCAAAAAGACCAAAAGCCAAGTTCTAAGTTATATAGTTTCATTTCCGTTTCCACTTCCTCCCCTCTCACTTTTGTTTCATTCATTTGTTTTCTTGGTCTCAATCTTCCCATCCCTTCTCACTAAGTGCTGGAGTATAGGTTTGCACACTGAGCAGGCCCACCAACTGGTCAGGGCACTTTCAGGATGACTGCTTATCACAGTTTGTACCTGTCTCACTTAAGGACAGGAAGGAAATAGAGTTAGGGAAGGACATGAGCATGTGCAATGTCAAGCTGCTGCTGGTCATGGTGTGAGAAAAAATGGAGGTGTAAAGACAAACTTCTAAGACAAGCACTGACTAAAGAGTAAGCATATTGACTCTGGCACAGCACATGCATCTTTAATGAAAAGTAGGTGGTTTTCAATGGTGAACATAAAAGGAAGTTCGGATCAATGAAAGTCATTTTAGTTTAGGTATTTCTTAAGGGCAAGGCAGCCACACAGTGGCTAGAAAACCAGGGTTTTTAGAAACAAAAGGAAAACTGGTATATGTAGAGAATACAGTGGCCAAAGGTGTATTTTTGGACCTATTTTCAAAGGTGTTAAAAACTTGTGCTTGTATTAGGGGGGTTATACTAAACACTGCAAAACTACCATCTGACCTGTATCTTGCTGACAGAAGGCACTATCCAGGGCTTCATGACCAGCTAATTTATTGAGTACTGGTCACCCATCTCAAGTCCAGGTACTCAGCTGCAGAGGTTCCTGGTCTTGTAGCTACAATATCTGCTCTGCATCATACTAGACACGCAACTACCTATCAGGAGCAGAAAGTAACAGACACTCAGGGGTTACTTTAGAGCATACAGACACCCTGAGAGCTCATAAAAGGAAAACAATTATAAAAACACACACGTAGTAGAGCACATTCCATCATTAAAATACACATTAAAAACACAGGATGGACCCACACTATTATCGACTGTTCATTTTTGGAAGACTGTTATAATAAGTACTAACAATATTTCAAACAAGATAGTTTTCTCAATAACCACAGCACCAAATACCTTAGGGGATAAACAAGTTATTTTATGTTAACTATTATCATGCCCTGAACACCACAGTTTCCTTGGTGACTAAACAGGTATATGACACTGTGATAGGTATCAGCACTGGTGACCACAGCTGTAGGGAAGGGATGGCACAGTCTTGTCTTCTGGGCAGGAGTTCTAGGGGACACAGGTAAAGAATGTCTCTGTAGAATAAAATAAAGCAGTCTCAATTCCACTTACCTGAGAGAGAAAAAGATCATGAGATAAGGTCTGTCAAGTTATGTGGTGGAGGCAAGCTCCTAATTTGAGCCCAAGAGATATGAGTACCAGAGACACTCATTTTACCAAAAATACTGTTTTGCAGTTTGATGAATGGTTCAAAAAAGGTCATTTCTATGCTGCTAGGGCAATATTTTCCATAAATGTTGGAGCGCTTAACCAAAATATCACATCATCCATGAAATAGTTTGAGTAACTGCCAGAAACAATTACTTAGGGACTTTCTCAAAAGCAATACTAGAAAGATTTTTTAAGAGCCATAGGCTAAATACAAAACTGTTTTTTCAATATGACAAGATTACTGTACTCATGAACTCAGTAGCTCTAGTTATGTGCACAAGATCTGCACGAAGTTAAGCTAGTCAGCACTGTAGCATGGAGTGAGAATGAGTTCTTGAGCCTGAACCTGTAAATGAGAACTCTGGGTAGATGAATGGCTTCTGGGGGGGGGGGGTTAGTTTCTTTAGGGATATGGCTCCTGGTAGGCTGACCATGCTCCAGGGAATGGCACCACCACTGGGAGTATATTTATAGACAGCACAAATTGGAGTCATGGACTATTGCAAAACAACAACAACAACAAAAAGAACAACAACAACAAAAAAATGAACTTTTAGGGGGGGATAAGGAGGTGGGGGTTAACCTGAGAGGGGTTAGGAGAAGAAGCTGAGGGTGAATATGATCCAAATATACTGTGTGAAAATTTTAAAGTATAAAGAAAAACATTTTAATCCTGAAATTAAAAAATACCCTAATACCTTATTTGTAGTTTGCAAATGATAAGAGCCTCTCTAACAATATAGTATTAGCTACCTCTGAGAGCACTGAGAATCAGTGGGAACACTGTAAATACATGGTATAATGCCTAGTCCAGCACATGTGCAACATTTATACCATCAGCCTGTCAAAGCATTTTCAAGTCAGCGTTCTTTTTTCAAGACTGAGTATTTCTGTGTAACAGCTCTAGCAGTCCTGGAACTCACTCTGTAGACCAGGCTAGTCTCAAATTCACAGAGATCTGTTTGTCTCTGCCTCCCAAGTGCTGGGATTAAAGGCATGTGCCACCACCCGCCTGGCTCAAGTCTGTTTTCTTATTCAATCTATAAGAACTACAAAACACAGGCTAGAAGAAATAGAACCTCTGTAAAGTTGCTACCTAAAGTAAAGTTGTGATATCAAAAAATATGACTGCCTAGGGGCTGTAATAAAATTACAGAAATAATCAAGGAATTAGAAAAAAAAGGCTATATTATCAAAAAGCCAGGCAGGATGTACCTACAAGTAAAATAATGTCATGATTACTATGAGTACGACAATCAGCTTTCTGACTGAATTTTAGGCCTATTCCACAGGAAGAACTCCTATCCAGTACTTACGCCAGGGTGAAAGGCTGTGGATGGGAAGGGGTTACAGGAGCTGGGTGGTGGTGGTGGTGGTGGTGGCGCACGCCTTTAATCCCAGCACTCGGGAGGCAGAGCCAGGTGGATCTCTGTGAGTTCGAGGCCAGCCTGGGCTACCAAGTGAGTTCCACAAAAGGCACAAAGCTACACAGAGAAACCCTGTCTCGAAAAACCAAAAAAAAAAAAAAAGTACCAATATCCTGGGGAAATTTTTCTTTGGCAAAATTAAGAAAGCCGTATTACAGGAGGAAAACAAAACAAAACACCCCCTTTTAGCTTTTCTGATACGTATTTAAACTGAAGTTATAAGAAGCTCTTATTTTATGGAATAGATCTTAATCTATTTATTACAACTCTATAAACTGTCTTTGCCACACCCGTTAGTGGCCTGCTCCACGGCAGATGATCAAGGGTTTCCTTAAATCCTCTATGTAAAGAAACTGCACACAGCACCAAGATTTCATGCAATCTGGAAGGATTTTAGACTCTGAATTTTCTCCACTTTTTTTCCAATAAATGGTAAATTTATCATTTTATTCTAAAGAACTTTAAGTACAGAATACATCATACAAAGCTTGTAATATGTTGATATTCGAACTCCAAAAAGACCTTCTTTGATTTCTATGAAAAAGTTTAAATGATGGAAAGTTTTGATGAACATCTCAGGTTTTGGTAATTCTGTCTACCTATAAAAAAGTTACGACATTTAAAAAGTATCACATTCAACGTTACTTATGAAACCTTATGTTTCGAAATATAACCTCTGAGGAGTAAACATGAGGACAGTTAGACTGAGTTAGCCTGTCTTAATAGGAAATTATAAGTAGTGTATCTATCCATCAATCTGGTGAATCCACATTGTAATAAAGGACTTCTTTCTTTTCTATACAAAACCATCAATAATGTATATATAAACATTTTCCTTTCTCTTACCAATAGCTGCCAGTATTTTAACATCAAAGTTGCTTTTTGAGTTTAGAATTATATCCCAGTAAAGTCTATCAGACCATCTTCCTTCTCTTTCTTCCTTTCTAACATTCCACTGATCTCTTCTGTGTTTGGATGGGGCACATATGTGCCACGGGAAGCATGTAGAAGTCAGAAGCCAATCTATGGGAGCTGGTTCTTTCTTTCCATGATATGGCCTCTGAGGAGTAAACTAATGCTGGCAGCAAGCATCTATACCTGTTGAGCCATCTTGCCAGCCCCATCATACAAATCTCATTAAGTAATCTATCATGGGACTCTGGATTAGTGCTTGGGCTTCTTTACTTATTATATTACATAGGAAAAAAATGAATACCTGCAATCCCAACTCTGGAAAAACAAACTAAAATACCACCAAGTAAGATAAAGTAATCCTGACAGTCCTTGACACTAATTTTTATGATGCAAGTTTAAGAAATCAATTTCTTGTGAAAAGGACAGGGGGTGAAAATCATATTAAATTGATTTTTCTATGAGCATAAGTTAAAAGAGGTCACTAATACTCATTAAAAACTTATGCCAGAGACACTTCAGAAGGGAAAAAACAAACTATAACGGCTAATAAGTAGAAAGTGCTTCTGATGTAAGAAATGCTCAGAATGTTCACATTGAAAGGTCGTCAACATTTTGAAGTGTACCTTGAAGGATTGGAGAATAATGATTTAGTTAGGGTTGAGTATTTTTGACTAGTTTAAATCACCTGTATATGAAATTTGCTGAAGTAGCTGTCCAGATTGGTAACCTCTTTTTGTTTTTGCTTTTCAAGACAGAGTTTCTCTGTTGTAACAATTCTGGCTGTCCTGTAACTCACTCTGTTGACCAGGCTGGCCTCAAACTCAGAGATATGCCTGCTCTGCCTCCTGAGTACTGGAATTAAAGATGTGCACCACCACAGACACGCTCATATTGGTAACTTCTTAAAGTTTCCTTTTTTGAGTAGACATTCATATATTATGTTGTCTTTAAAATTAGGTTGCATCTTCTATATGAAAGTATTTTTTATGTTTTCTGATTTATATACTAATTTTCTTACAGCTGTTATACAATAAAGCTAATGTAGAATGTGTGGTTTTTGCAAATGTAACAACTGATAAAATTTTATACTAGTAAAAATATTCTTTTCTGTGTGAGGAGGATACATATGTGTGGAGAGTGTGTGTGTGTGTGTGTGTGTGTGTGTGTGTGTGTGTGTGTGACAGTATGTTTTACTGAACCTGGAGCTCACCTATTTAGCTAGACTGATGGGCCAGGAATCCTCCTGTCTCCATCTCCCCAGAGCTGGGATTACAGTCCCTTCTCAAATGCAAGCTACAGACCTACACTTAGATAGATCCTAACATTTGCACAGCTCAATGAGCTCCCACACCACACCAAAACAGTTTTCCACTGTATTTTGAAAAGTATCCCCCCAAAACAAAGACTATTAGAGAGAATTTTTTAAGTCATAAAAACACTAACAATCACCTTCATGTATTAATTTGAGAAAAGACTTTTTACCTGGAATATTTTGCACCCATCGCCTTAGAAGCTTGTGAAAATCTTACCTAACGATGTTATTTGGTAAGAAACACATCGATGTCTCCACAAAGAAATGGCAGATCTCTCTCGATTCTGCAGTTCTTTTAGTCTTTCTGCTAGTCCACCTCTGTTTAATGAATTATAATATACTATGTTTAAATAAAAGAAAAATCACTCATAACAGTTGCAGCTTTTATTTACATTTCACACACCCCAAACAGAAACAGGGAAACCCTTTGTATTATATTCCTTTTCTGGGTATCATTTCCAATTCCTAGTTTTCTTAGGAGGTCTGTTTCCTGATTCTCACCAATGTTGGGCTGCTATTATACTCATAAAATCTGACAGTTAAGTCAGTATGGTTCCCTTTCTACACTTTAAATTTTTCACTCCTTAACTGTGCTGTGCATTTACTACCTGCACTCCTCACTTGGCTAGGAATAGAAAATGCTGCATCCTCTCATGCAAATAGGGTCTCCAAATGTGCAAATATATAAATGCAAAGTGAATAATTCAGAGAGCCTCAGACAAGAACGAACTTGCCAATCTGTTGGTAAGCACAATAATCAAACAAGAATATTATTTGGACTCCTTAAGATCATTTATTATCAGTCACAAACACACTACAAGGATCACAAAATCAAGAAAAGTTAAAAATCAAGTTAGAAAAGGAGGAAAAGGCAAAGCAAGAAAAGGGAGGCAAGGGAGGAAGAAAGGAAAGGAGCAAAGTAAGGAAAGTTCTATGGAGTCTTCAATTACTTTCCTCTATCTCATCTACCCACCTCATCTAAATTTCTAAATCTGAAATTTACAAGGTTCCTCTCTCCATTAATTCACACCTAAGAACCTACCACCATCTAGTAGCTTAACTTCTAAGGTGTTTAATCAACCACTTCCCATCCAAAATCTGCTGCTCCTACTACCTCACTTCTAACACTGCCACTACTTGACTTCCTGGCAGACAGTCTTCACCCAGAACAGGCAGAGGCTTACTGCTCTGTCTCCTGCATACAAAAACATGCTTGGCACACAAAAGGGCCTCCGTAGGGTTTGGAACAGTATGTTCTAGAACTGGATTACATCACCTGCGCCATTAAAATCACTCTAATTTCAAGCACAACAGCCTCCCCACACACTCCTTCCTTCCGGGTAACTGAACCCAGAGCCATACACATGCTAGACAAACACTTTATCACTGAATCAGATTCCTAGTTCCTGGATTTCTGAGATAAGATTAACTAAAGAGAACTCGAGTCTGACTTCAAAATCACCATGTCACCCAGGCTTGTCTTGAACTACAATCCTACCGCTTCTAGTATGGTTAGAGTTGTGCACTATCATATCCAATTACCACTCTCTTCTGAAGCCACAACGTTATTTGGGGCATTGTTGGATTCAGATTGGCATAACTGTGACTATCTTGAGTTATAATGTCCACCAAGTATTACTAGAGGGTTTCACTTTTGGCATTTCCCACTATGATACAAATAAACTAAACCATCAGAGTGGTATGTATAGCTTTATGATTGGCTCCATCAGCATCAGGAATGTGTTTGATGTCTGTGATACTAGCTTCATATTGGCCATGTCCATTTTAGCCTGGATGAGGTCACTTCTGTCTTTTCCTTTGACTCAAATGACACGAATCCACTGGTCTTCCTGCTGTACACAACCAAACTTCTGCGACTATGTCACGACCTATACTCTGTGTAATCGTGGACCTTTCTTGTTCTTTGGTCTCATACACTTTCCAAGGCTTTTGGATACTAGGAAGTGGTTTTTCTAGAATGGGTATATAACCTTGTGCCTTATTTATAAAAACATGAGAATGGATATACATTTTCTCAAAATAATGCATGCATCCCATTATTTGTCTCTGCAAATATTATTTCTGGAAATACTGTTCTCTGCAACTACTCTAGGGATGAGAGCCTTTCATGACATAATCAGCTAAGTCTCTTCATCCAGAGTGAGTTTGGGCATCAGGTCTTTTGTATGTACCACCCACATTTTAGCCACTGCTCTCAGTTTGCTGTGGCTACAGTATTAATAGACCCCATAATCCTCACAACTGTGTCTTCTTCCACTGTGGCACATTCTCCCAGGAGTTCTCTGTCCCTTTTAGTTTAAAACACTGCTGGACATGGGTTCCTTCTCACTCTCATTGTTTTTTTGTCTAGGGACAGGACATTATTTTGTTTCAATTTATAACAAAGACACCTTGTACAACATGAGGTTGTGACATGTCTCTATAGGCTCCTGAATAAATCCTGCTTAGTTCACAAAGGCCAGCCATGGACTGATACACTAATAACAAGCATTTTCACCCACCCTGGCTCTCCTCAGCCATATGAGGTATTTTTATCCATCAATCAAGGCTCTCATATTTTCTTGCATTTTTAAGCATTAATTTGGCCACTTTCTCTAACCATACTCATGCCATAAAGGTAAGCTAATGGACTAACATTTATTTTTATCTTTCTCTTTGTAAGTTATATTTAATAATGAAACAGTGATTTCCCCTGTCACTATCTAACTGAGCACCTAGAACACTGACGTTGAATAAAGCCTGATAAGCCAAACAACATACTTCCACTAAGGAAAGCAGCATGCAAGCTAGTCATGACCAAATCCACTAATGCTCTACTTGAATGAACAACTTCATAAACTGGCTCCCAAACAGGCTGACAAATTGTCTATCAAAACCAGAATTTTATTTTGTCAATTTTCTTTCTCAGTTAAACAAATATTTTAAAATTAAAGTCTCAGTCGATATTTTAAAGACAGAGAAGTACTGAAGAACAAGAAATTACAAAGATGATTTAACCTTAAGAGCTTCTTCTTTGTTGCTGAATTTTCTGGAGTCTTGGGAAAATTGGCTGTATATTTCTGGGGTGTGCTCAATACAGGCTCAGTTGAATTTGCCCCTGAGTCAGTCTGTCTGTTCAAAGACTGTCTTGCATCTGATTTAAAATCCATCTGGTATTTGTGAGGGGATTCTGAATCAATGAAGAGGGCATTCTCTAGGTCATCTTCTTTGTCACTATCTGATGAATACTCCACAATTTCTGTAGAAATTGGCTGGAAAAAATTAAAAGAGATGTAATTAAATATTCTTCATTTAACCCCACATGCATATATGGCTATCATTGTTTTGACGAAAAACTTAATACTCAAAAATAAAGAAAAGAATGTTAAACTAGTTGTGAGCCAGGCATTGTTTTATAGATTCCATCAAAATCAACTCAAGTGTTTTTTATCATCCTTCAGCAAACTAATGGCATGTACCATATGTACTGGAGTCTCTAATGTAAGCTAGTAACATACCTGAGAGTCTAAAAGCAGTCAGTATCTGACACTCATTGGGGGGAAAAAGATTATTTCTCAGCTTTTAGATTTTAACAAGGAGATAACATTCATTATTTGTCATGAACCAAATAAAAAGATACTGTCTCTTTAAGTATAAAGCATTTTAATTCAGCAATGGAGCCATTAAGAGCTAATAGGAAAACTTGCCTTTTCTGGCATAATTCCAATATATTTTCTAGAGTCCAGTTAGAAATCTTTAACACAAACAGGGATTATTTAAGAATATGAGTAATTGCCTAACATTTCTTAAAATATTTCTTCCTGGTTTTATTCAAATTTCTGAACTTGTAAAATAAGATTATTTTTAAAAGTAGATCAGAAAACCAAAATTTGCATCACAGGGCCATCTTGTAGAATCTAATACTTTCTTTTGATGCCTTCTGTCTTTGCTCTGACACATACTAAGTGTGCTGGATTTTAATCCCAACTTGACACAGGCCAGAGTCATCTGGGAAGAAAGAACATCAGCTGAAAAACTGCCCTCATGAAACTGGCCAGTAGAGCATTTTCTAATTAGTGATTGATACAGAAGCACCCAGCCCCTTGTGGGTGGTACTACTCCTGGCAGGCAGTCCTGGGCGAGTAAAAGAAAGCGTGATTGAGCAAGCCATAAGCAGCATTACTCCATGGCCTCTGTATCAGCTCCAGCCTGCACATTTCTGCTTGACTTACTGTCCTGATCTCCTCAGATGATGTTTGTGAGGGGGAAGTGTAAGGGAAATAAACCCTTTCTTCCCCAAAATACTTTTGGTCATGATGTTATGTTAACAGCAATAGAAAGCCTAATTAAAACAACTTAGGATTTCTAAACATGATAAAATTTTATTTTCATATTACTTGGTTTTACAGGTCAGTTACACGTTGTTCTAGTTTTAGTAATAATTTATCCTTCAACATTTTAATTTTGCAGATTTCAGCAGCCTTAAATTATTTACAATTTATACAAAATATAAATTTATTAAAAGTGTACTTCATCATTAGTTGAATGGGACTTTTAAAAACAATTATTTGAAATATATGTTTGTGCTCCATCCTGAGGAGCTCATCTATTTTGCTGGATTAATATGGACCACACATCCCTGGTAATACAGGAGGCTTTTGAGTAAAAGCAGGAAGCAGAGTGTGAGCATGTATGTGCACTGTTACTGAAGTAGCTGGAGTTTGCTAATGTGCACAGCTTACTGCACTGGGTCTTTTCTGAAATTATATCATTAAGTACATGTGAAGAGTCTTTAAAATGATACTATCCAGTCCTGTATCATCTAAGAAGTAGTTTTGGTAGGTACCGTCACAGTTTTAAGAAAGAAAGAAAAAAAAAAAAAGCAATGAAAAGCAAGACCCTAGTTCCTTTCTATCCTTGCAAGTCTAAGCCTAAATCATGGCAGCTACATACTTATCAATGATTAATAAGCACTAGGAATACATGCTTTGCTCACAATACTGCTTCTGGATAAATATTAAAAATAAGCCACAAAAAGAACCAGAGCATTTTTAAACTGAAAACGATAGTTCGTGATACCTTTTATATTACTTGAGAATTACATATCTAACTAATTTTATCTTTTTCTCATGAGACATCCCTCCCATGCCCATGAGGACTGAGCACAGAGTTCTCCATCACTTAGTTACACTCTGTGCAATCCTTTTCATCAGAAACTCCCCACAACCCAGGTACACTATGAACCATAATCTGCCACCCTCGACCTCTGAGTAGCTGGGATTTCAGGCCTGCACTCTCACACACGGCTGAGAAATTTTCTTTAGAATAAAGGTTTTCATTTCATCCTATATCAAGATCTCTCAACCTCAATTCTATTGCCAGTTGGAGCTAAGACAATATGGAGGCCATATGCTATAGAGTGTTTAGTAACAGCCCCGCCAAACCCACCAGATGACAAGAGCACAAGTACTACCCGTAATAACAATCCCATGTCCAGACACGGCCTAATGCTCCCTGGTGACAAAGTATCCTCAGTTGAGAACCACTGTCCTAGAAAGACACAGTTTGTGCCACAGACTCATAGGCAAATGTGAAGAGGATTCAAAGTACATTGGAGACACAGTAGAGGCTGAACCTGATTCCTTATAAAGCACTGCAAAAGAAAGTTTACTTTGGTTCCAAAATCACATCAAGAGCAACCCTCTGTGGCCTCTGCATCAGCTCCTGTCTCCGGGTTCCTGCTGGGTTTGAGTTCCTGTACTGACTTCCTTCAGTGATAAACAGTGATGAGGAAACATAAGCCTAGTAAACCCCTTTCCTCCCTGACTTGCTTTGGTCATGGTGTTCTATCACAGCAATAGTAACCCTAAGACATTATGTATAGGTCTTTAATTTTTGCTCCAATGATTGACATGTCTAGTTTTTTTGTTTGTTTGTTTGGGTCTTTTGTTGTTGTTGTTTTTGCTAGTACCACCATGCTATTTATAATAGTTTTGTGATACAGCATGAAAACTGGTATAGTAGTACCTCCAACACTGTACTTTATACTCAGAGATACTTTAGTTATCTGGGGTCTTCAGAGGGTTCCTGTGAATTTAGGGATTTTTATTGGGATAGCACTGAATTTGCAAGTTTCTTTTGGTAGGGTGGTCGTTTTTTTACAATAATTCTACCAATCCATGAGCACTGAAAGTCTTCTCAAGTTCTAGTATCTTCTTTGATCTTTCTTTAAAGTTTTCATAAAGCAGTCTCTCATCTTCCTGGTCATATTTATTCCTAGATCATTTATTTTATTTTCTTTTGATTCCATTTTGAAGGTGAATGTTTCAAAGGTCTTTCTCGGAATGATTGTTTTGGGTATATAAATGTAACTGTTTTTTTTTTTTTTTTTTTGGTTTTTCAAGACAGGGTTTCTCTGTGTAGCTTTGTGCCTTTTCCTGGAACTCACTTGGTAGCCCAGGCTGGCCTTGAACTCACAGAGATCCGCCTGGCTCTGCCTCCCGAGTGCTGGGATTAAAGGCGTGCACCACCACCGCCCGGCGTAACTGATTTTTATAGATCAATTCCATGTACTAACACTTTTCTGAAAGTGTAGATCAATTCTAAAAGTTTTCTGGTAGAATTTTTTGGATTTCTTTTGTATATCATATTCAAATAGGAATAATTTGACTCTTTCCAGTATGTATCCCTTTAATTTCCTTGTCTTGTCTCTAACTAGTGATCCAAGCACTATATTGAAAGGGACTGGGGATAATGAAAACTCTGCCTCATTCCTGACAATGGATTGCTTTGAGGTCTTCATTATTTAGGCTGATGTTAGCTATGGGTTTGTCATATACAGCTTTTATTTTGTTACAGTATGTTCGTCCAGTCCTACTCTCTCTAGGACTTCTATAATGATGGGATGGTGGATTTTGTCAGAGGCCTTTTCTGTGTCTACTTAGATGATCATAATTTGTCTTTAAGGCAGTTTAGATGGTTTATTACATTTATTGAGTCACATATGTTGAACCACTCTTGCTCTGATTTTATTATTTCTTGTCAACTATTAGATTTGGGTTTGGTTTGTTCTTATTTTTCCAAATTGCTGAGTTGCACCATGAAGTTATTTGTGCTCTTTCTGATGTTTTAATATAGATGTTTGGAGCGATAAAACATCCCTCTTAGTACTGCTTTTAATGTGTTCCAGAGGTTTTGTTGCTCTGTACTTTCACTTTCACTTAACTCTAAGAAGCCAAAATTATTCTTTTTTGACTTGTTCTTTGACTCAAACATAATTCTGACTGAAGTAACCCAGACTGAGGAAGAAAAATGTCACACATTCTTTCTCATTTCTGGATACAGGCTCTTAACCTTTACTTGGCATATATAACCTGGAGTAACTGCAGAAACCAGGAAAGGAAAAAGGATACATAGTGGGAGAGGTCAGGGTGTTACTCTAGAAATGAGGCTAGTAGAATACAGGAGCAAGGAAAGGAAAAATTGGAAAACTGGATTATTTTAACAGGGTAGGGGAGAGGAAGGCAATGCAGAGGGCAAGGAAGGGAGGTGGGGTAAATAATATAAAGGAAGCTTGAAAAACCCACAGGGTTTTTCTTTATGTTTACTTTAAATATATATATGGACACATATTCATAGTTTAAATGAAGTTATACTACCAGGAGTGATGATGCTCCCCCAAAGGAGCCACAGATGATCTAACAAACCCAATCCCAAGAATGGGAAACCACTCTTCAAGTTGTTGAAGAGAGTCTAAGAGATGTCTACCTATCCTCAGCTAAATCACCACAAATTAGAAAATTTTCCTTATGAATCATTTTAAGAATAGGAGATGATTATTTCTAATATATTAGAAACAAAAAAATTGACATATCAAAAGCTTAAAAGCTATCATTAATATATAAGAGAACATACACCATATTTGTCTTTGTGGATCTGGGCAACTTTTCTCAAAAAGACTGTTCCTAGTTCCATCCACTTACCTGCAATTTTCATAATTTCACAGAGCAGTAATGACAAAGCATCTCAAAGTAGTTTTAACTTGCATTTCCCTAATGCCTAAGGATGTTAAACTTTTTAAAAGTGTTTCTCAGCCATTTGTGTTTCATCTTTTGAGAATTCTCTGCTTAGTTCTGTGCCCATTAAAAAACAAAAAACAAAACAAAACAAACAAAAAAACCTTTCTTTGATGGTCAGTTTCTTTAATTCTTTATATATTTTAGATAACAGCCCTCTACCAAATGTATAATTGGTAAAGAACTTTTCCTATTCT